TTCTAAATTATTATTATTATTTTTTTATTATACTCTTTTTGGCCAAATTTGATTTTTTAAAGAAAAAAGATCAGATTTGGCTCTTTTGCTGAAGATTAATTTAGAGCGTTTAACTGGAAATTTTTTTTATACGTATGCTGCAAATATTTGTTTAAAAAATCGGTAAATACGATCGAAAAACGAAAGAAATCACTATATTAAAAAAAAAAGAAATAATCAAAATATCCAACTGTTAGCCGATGATTTTTCCGTCCGTCGAAGGGCCGACAATTCATTTGAAAAGTCGGAAACTCTGGCCGAAAACCGGAGAGATAGCAACCGTAAATGTCATCTCTTACTGAGTGTACATTTTTTGTTCTTAAAGAAACAAACAAACATAAACAAGATATATTTGAAATTTTACAAATGTGAGAAGAAAAAGTTCTAGTGCACTAGTGCAGTCCAGCGCAGCGGTAATAAAAACAAACTTATATAATGAATTATATAATGAATATCAAGAACGCAAAAGAATTGCGACTTTACGTCACAAGTTATAAATATATTATACGACGATGAAATGAGCTTGCCTTTGCGGTTGTGAATTGAGTAACAGAGATCGTTGAATTCGATGTACATTTGCGAGTTCTGTGATTGTTTGGGTCCCAATTCTTCGGGTTCCTGCACATAGATCTTGTAGACGCCGTCCGGCATCCTTTCTGTGCTACCTTTATAGTTCGCTTCCAGCATCTTTCCAGATACTACGTAAAATTAGCTGTCAATGCTGTTGATTAATTGCAATTGATTAATTAAAGGATTAGTGTTTGCACTACGTGTACGAGATGATGTGCATAAAATGCGATAATTGTTGAATAATTATCATGGCTACAGTCCTGCACTTGATGCTGCTTTGAAGCATTTTTTGATTGTATTTTTAATTAATTTTTATTGTGTTTTTAATGGCTCTCCAATAAGAAAAATATCCATATCTTTGAATCAACATTTTTATTGCTTTAATAAGAATAACAGGATCACTTATCAAATGTATACGTGCTATTCGTTTGCTTCTTACGGTCTCGTTCACATTCTTAAAAGATGAACGCGACGAACGAAATCTGCTAATGGTTGCTCATTACGCATGACCGCGATTTGACTCATGTAGTACTCACATGCTAATTATAAATAATAAAATGTATTTTTTATTGGAAAATTAAATACTTTAAAGCGATTGATTATAGCATTTTTATTACACTTTAATTTGATATGTTAACTCATGTCGTACTGCTGGTTATAAGCGTAAGAAAAAAGTCACCTTTTATTTTCACAGAATCTTGTGTTTGCGAAGTGTATCGGCCGAGTTCTCAATTGCAACTGTCGACGTGGATCAATTACAGCCGTAATTGGATAGTCAGCTTCTGCGTAGGTACACTAGATATCTATCACACTTAATTATTCATGATGGATATTAATATTAACTTTTCAACTAATACGTTTTTATATCAATCAAAATCAGGCAAATACGAGTCCTATGTCGTTATTAGTGCGTAAAAATTCTTCAATTTATTTCAACTTCAGTTACATTTTAATCATTTGCGAACGTTTCGGCTTCATTCCAGCCATCTTCAGCGTAAAATTCCAAATATACAGGGTCCGCTACGCAATGGTACAGCGCTCGTGGGCAAGTAGAGTGGATCAAACTGAACAAAAAAGTCCTCTATCATTTTGCGATCTTTGCGATAGTTTTCGAGATATTAATATATAAAACATCGAAACTAAACGCGCAACGAGATACGCCCACCCGCGGTCGCCTCCCTCGCGCACTAAGCGCGCGGCGCGGTGCGGGGGTAATTGGACGTTTATCAATGCCGCGGCTCACCTTTCCTGCACGCCGCGCACTAGTTTACACTATCGTATTAGTTATTTTATAAATAATGTACTTGGTATACGTATCAAGCAAAATTGATGTGGAGTATATATAAATAAACAATAGAATAGGAGCTCGACTCAACTGGAAAATTTTCTGAACATTAGCTTCTCTTATCGGAACTAATAAGTGACCTTTATTCATTATATAACCTACTTCATTTTCTTATCTCGTTCTCCATATATTTGCATAAACAGTTTGCATAACAGTCTTACTGCAGTTTTAATGTATTACACATCAATTTTTATACATTAGGTCAGTGTTTTAAAATTCCTTTCTACAACTTAGAATATGCAACAGAATCTATAACAGAATAGCGCAATTTTACATATTCTGCAATATTATATTTAAAACAAATTACGTTTAAAGTTAGTACTTCTCAATTAAAAATATAAATAATAACAATGTAATAAAAAAATATTTTTATTATTACACTATTTTACAGAATAAATGTTTTTATACACAATGTTTTTTATTTTTAATTAGTGCAATCTTTTTATATTATTACTTTTCTTCCACTTTCTTTTGAAAAGGTTTAATCGACGTTAAATTCTCCATTTATTGTAAAATTAGTTATGCAAATCACATATTATATTATAACCGACAACTTGTTTGCTTTGGTAATATATTTATATAAGCAACTATATTATATAGAAGAATCTGTAATCTACATTACACGATGCAATTTTTATACTAGATTTGCATTTTGCAATAAACATTAAGCATGAAATAGTTAAAATTGCATACTGCATACTGAATTTCTAATGCGCTTGCAATCAAACATAGAAAATTGTATACAGTAAGGTTAATAAAAAAAAAAAAGATTTCCATAATTAGATATTGTTTTTTGCAACTCTGTTCAAAGATCGTATCTGTATTAAAAAACAGAAAATCATAAAAGCGAGATAATCTTTCCCGAACGTGCAGTAAAGTAGCGTTAATTTAGCGTAATTCTTTTTAGTAACGAAAACATTTGTAATAATATAATAATTTTAAGATCGCTAGAAATTAAATCACATATTGTAACTAAAAATTAATCAAAAATTTTATTGGATTGAAATGTTTGTTGTGCTACATTAAAAATACATTAGAGCTGTCCAAAATTTTTAATGACAAAATATAAATCTATTATATAATGTATCTTTTACTTATTAAACACATTAAACATTTAGAATAGGAATTTTGTTTTAAAATAATCTATTTTTAGAGATTCGTGAGATTTAAAAACTAAAGTAGCAAAGAGCCAAAGAATACAAAACTCGATTAAGTTTGTTGATTTGATAAAAAAAAACGATGTTTATTACTATATTGCTATTATTCATCCTTATTATATTGGTGTGGAATTATTGTGCACATTATGGAAAAAACGGGCGACTTATCAATCTTATACCAGGACCACCAGGTTATCCAATTGTTGGAAATATCTTGCAATATTTTGGTTCTCAAGGCAAGTTAAAATTTTTTGTAAATTTGCGTAAATTAATTAGCTTTTATACAAATATATACAAATATGATATTTGCACTCCGAGACAGTTTACAATTAATATTATTGTATGAAGATTTCTGTTAAAAATTATTTAAACTTATGGAGTTCTTTTATACATAATACCATTAATTTTCTAAATTACTGAAATTATTTAAAAAATAATAGAATTTATTAAATATGATGCTAAATTTAATCAAACCTTTTTCGATTAATATTTAAAATATTTTGATAAATTTATATAATACAAATATATTTTTTAGAGGAACAATGGAAGATTTTGATTAACCATACTAAACAATACTGTCCCATTTTAAAAATTTGGGTATTCTTTAAGCCTATTGTCTCCATATTTCATCCGGATGATCTAGAGGTATGAAATATAAACGAAATTTTATTTTCTTTTTATTACTAATATCATAGCGTATTTATTATTTTCTTTTATTTAGCAAATATATTTTTTTCGTAAAAAATTTATTAGTGATTGAATATTTAAAATATACCTAAAATTAATTAATTAATTTATCTGTGTTGCATGTGATTTAAATAATGTTGTGAAGCCCATTGCTTCTAATTTAATTTAAATAATTTTATTTCCAAATTTTCTATAATTTTAGACAATACTAAGCAGCACAAAACATATCGAAAAGACAGTGTTTTATCATACTCTACAACCTTGGCTCGGTACTAGTATTCTCACTAGTGAAGGTAATGATACTAATATGGATAATAAATATGGCTGCATTAATATTAAGTTTTGTTTTGAGTGTCAAGTTCCATGTTAATGTTGAAATAAACTGCCAAAAACAAATTTAAATGCATGTTATAAATTATAAACGATAACATATGTGTGTAATAATATTTTGTTCTTTATTAAATAATAAGTTTTAGACTTTTATATAAATTCAATTGCATGTGACATTATTATAATAACTACGATATATTCTGACTTGATACAGATTTTCTTAAAACGATATATTCTTAACTAAAATTCTGAAACGACTTTACCTCTAAAAGAACTTTGTCCAAAGAAAACACTTGAATTTTAAAATAAAATAGTTTATTAAAAATTGGATAACACAAGTAGGAAGGAGTTGCGTACTCCTCCGTCAGACTTGCCATAAGCTAATCAAAGTAGGCAAGCACTCCCTATATATAAGTCTTTAAAAATAAGACATCTTTTGTTCTAATTTTAAATCAACGTGCAATTTTAACTTTACATCAGGATTCGCGACGTTTTACATTAACATTATGAAATAATTGAAAATATAAAAGAATTTTTAATTAGTACATTTTATCAAAATTTTTTAATCGAAAATTTAAACGTATAACAAAGAAAGAATAAGTAAAATATACATGTATAAATATTTTAACTAATGGTTATTAAAAATTAATGTATTTAATGTTAAATTACAAAGTATGAATGGTTGCAATGTTTAATTTAAAATGTTATTTCACAATAACATACATTGTGTTGTTTGTGTTTTAGGCGCCAAGTGGCACTCACGACGAAAGTTGTTAACTCCCACATTTCATTTTAACATATTGCAGCAGTTTGTTAAGATTCTGATCGAGGAAGCCGAAAAAATGACAAAATCCTTGAAAAATACAGAAGGCATAGTTGTAAAAGATTTAATACCGTTTGTTAGTAAACACACGTTAAATGCAATATGTGGTATTGTATCATATTCCTAATTAGATAAAATTTTATTTCTATTAATAAATAATTTAAAATAAAATGCAAGTTTTTTAATTTTAAATATTGATATGGCTGTATATATGATAAAACTTTTAGATATCATAAAACTTTTATACAAATCTGATTGCAGAAACTGCCATGGGCACATCATTAGAAAATCTTGGTGCACTCCAGCAACAGTATCAGAAAGCGCTTTGTCGCATGACTGAACTTTATTATTATAGGTAATTCTGGTAATTTATACATGTATATATATATATATATATATATATATATAATTGGTAACTACAATATATCTACATTTTTTATCTTAAGATATAAAATAACATTTTATAATCATTTCAAGAAAATGCATAATATTTAATGTAAAACATCGTCGATAATTGGAAATCTACACGTTATATTGTTTTTCACATACAAATAACTATATTATTTATTAAAAAAGATTATTTAAGTTATTTAAATTTTAAGTACTAACAAAATAGATATCACAAAAAAAACATTGGATAGATATTTAACTTAAGGTGGAATAGAATGATTTAATATAATTTAATAGATGAATAAAATGATTTAATATTAATTTTATATTAAATTATGTTTTATTATCTCTTTAGTATAATTTTAGTATAATTTTATTATTGCACATTTTTCTCTTTTGATATTATTACTGAAATATTATTAACTTTTCAGAATATAAAGAATTTAAACTAGCTCATTTACGTAAAGGTACTATTATTATTTTCAAATAGCATATCTATCATTTCATAATTGTTGTTTAGATTAAAATGGCAATGGTTGTACTTCGATTGGATATTGTCGTTAATTCCAAAATGCAGAGAACAAACCAAGATTGTGAAGATATTACATGAATGTACTGAAAAAGTAATAAGATTACTTAAAATTATATATAAATTGAATATGTTATCGATTTTGAATAATTACAATAAAAATTTTATAACTTTTATATAGAAATTTTACAAGATAAATAAAAAATGTTAAGAACATGTTGGCAATGCAATCATATAAATCGTAAAAAAATGAATATTGTATTTACATAGATTATTGCTGAAAGAAAACTTTATCACGAACGCACTAATGGTCAGCACTTAAAAAACTTCGATAATGATATATCAGAAGAAAAAGATGACGCAGAAACGTCTGGAAGTACGTAATGCAATCAGAAGCTATTCATTAAATTCATTCGATAATATCTAACATCATAAATTATATTTTTCAATTTAAAATCTAAATATAGTTACATGTAATTCTCAACGTAATATAATAAAAGCCACGCAGAAGAATTGAGCTATTAAAATCATTTTGAGAAAATCTTTATATATTTTTGTTCCAGTGCGAAAAAAACGACTTGCAATGTTGGATCTTCTAATAGCAGCATCTCGTGAGGGTCTAATGACTGATTTGGATATTAGGGAGGAAGTCGACACTTTTATGTTTGCGGTATACATTTATAATTTTACTTAAGTTTATATATAATATTTAATGCCAATATAATATAATTATATGTTTATAGGGCAGTGATACAACATCGACGAGTATAAGCTTTCTTTTGGCACTATTAGCTGAGCATAAAGACATTCAGGTATTATAAGCTCCATTCTTAAGGTGATTTTTTAGTAAAGTGCCGAAAATTTGGGGTGCCTCACCAGGACTCATCCAAAAAGTTATTTGCATAATTTGGATGAAATATTACTACGTATATATCTAATGAAATAATATGAAACAAACGATATTTAGCATGCAAACGTGATGAATAAAATCACTATAAAAAGAAATTAAACTGACAGGCCATGCGATGTGAGCATTGCTGCGTAAATGTTGTCGGCAACAGTGCTGTTTATGCTTTTTACACATAGTAGCGCCACGTACGACGACGCAGTGATGTTCACATCGCACGGCCTGTCAGTTTAATATGCCGCTATTAAATTTCACTCGATATTTTTTCATTTCAATATTAAATATCTTTTCAGAATGGTCGGTGACCTATTACTTCTTTGTGACCGTTAAAACGTAATTTTTTTAAACTATTACAATCTCGTTTTTCAGAAAATTCTGTCGTCTCGTTTGTGTGCAGTTAGTCAAAGAAACGTCTCTGATTCTAATCTGTCACTACGTATATATACGTGAAAATTGTTACATTTTCAACATTTTTTTTCTCTTATTTCATCCGTAATCTACCCTAGAATTTTGCACGTCAAATTCGGTATTTCAACTTTATTATATAAAAAAATTAGATATTTTTGTCGTAACTCGATTTACTAAAGAGCCACCTTAAAAAATTAAGAATTAATTATTTCCAATAATTCTCAAAGTTATTTATTAGAATGCATCAATATTAAACACTTCAAATATCTTTTTGTGTGTGTCATTTATGTCCACATAAAAACATTAAAATAAAAATTTTAATTAAATAATATTTTTACTTAATATTTATGATGCAGGATCGTGTTAGGAATGAAATCGATATTGCTATGCGAGAGAATGAATACAAATTTACTTTGAAATTGCTGCAACAACTATCATATTTAGACAGATGTATAAAGGAAGGGTTACGCCTGTATCCCGTCGCATTTGCTATATCACGCACTACTACAGAAGATGTAAAATTACGTACGTATCAAATTTATCTTTTGTTATACTTTTAAATTAACTTTTAATATATATAATATATTTAATATTCAAAAATTAAATAAGCTTTTCAAATAAGCTTTTAATTGATAAACTTCGTTTTTTAATATGCTTTTTAGAGTCATATTTAGTACCATCTGGAACACTTTTGTATCTTTATATTTACGGAGTTCACAGAGATCCCAATTTTTGGCCAAATCCAGAAGTGTTTGATCCAGATAGATTTTTGCCTGAGAAGATCCGAAATCGTCATCCTTACTCATATGTACCATTCAGCGCTGGACCACGTAACTGCATCGGTAGGTCATATTTTTTTTGTACTTTTATATAAATAAATTGCGATATATATTATATTGTAGGTCAACGATATGCAATGCTGGAAATGAAGGCGATGATAGCCTCTCTGATATACGATTTCTACTTGGAGCCTGTTGACTATTTAAAAGATCTTCGACTACTGATGGATATAATACTTCGTCCTGCTTATCCACTTCGTGTAAAATTTGTTCCTATCCGTAAAATTAATGTGTCTTTGAATCAAATTTCGATTTAAAAAATCCTTCATAAATAGCAAAACCTGCTATTAACAGTGATGTTCTCCGGATAATTTGTCGTATTTATTACGACGATTTTGTATCACTTTCGGGAGCGTCTTACAATCGGTTGAATATGATTTCTTTTACGAAAGAAAGACTTGCTTTAATAAATAATTCTTATGTATACATTTAACTACAATTATATGATTTATTTTTAACTGTGTAACAATTAATACGCACACATATTATAAATTAACATATTTAATTATCATGTAATTTACATATGCGTTAATTTGTAGGTGAATAAAAATAAAATAAATACTATATAAGCTAAAATTTCTATTTTTAAAATTCGTAATTTTTTCAATTAAATTAAATAATTAATAAAATGTAAACAATTATTATAGATTAAATATTTAAAATATTCTCAAAAATAATTAATTGATTTATTTATGTTGCGTGTGAGTTAAATAATATTTAACTGCAAGTTTTATATAAGTTTTTTTTGTAAACAACTTAAAGTATATTAAAAAGAAATTGTTTTATGATGGTCTACAACCTTAATTGATCGGTAATGCACTTCTTATTATTATATTATTTTTTAATGTAATTTTATAATATAATTATTAAATTGACAAAGCAATTTTGTAATTTTATATTAATAAGCATCTTTTACTTGAATAGAGATGAACTGTAAGACTCACATATAAAAATATTATTAAGCACCAAGATCCGCTTTGTACTGTGTGTTTTTTCTCATTCTACTTTTAATTTATTTTTTTGAAAAATATTTTATATTCTAATTCTTAGACTACATTCCGATAGTTATAGTTACTCAATCAATCAATATTGAAAATATATTATTCACATTACACATGTATATACTACAGCTATTTTCTGTACTAACAGTGAATATCGGAATATACATTCTTAATAATGATATTAATGTTTAAAAATAAGTAGTAAATTTAATCTAATTTTCTATAAAAGTAAGCAATAAAGAAAAACATGCTTTATATATCTAAGCAGAATAACAAGTCATGACATCAAAATGACATCAAAATCATTATTAAAAGTCAGTTTTCGATGAGTTATGAGTCATTTTAACATCATTTTGACGATATCATGACTAATTGCTCTTCTGCTTGGGTATAAACTAGTTTAGAGAGTTTTAAGTTTGAATATTTATTTGAATATTTATTATTACATTTAATAATTATTATTAAATAATATAAATTTGAAATCTAATTAAACTTATTTTAGTATTACACAAAAGTAACGAATCGTTATTTTTCAAGTTATTTTTTAAAATTAGTGATAAATGACAGTAACGAGTTACTTTTTGAAAGAAACGTTTTCAAACTTAGTGTAAAATAAGTCGAGTAGGAGCTCGATGTTTACTACTGGAAAATTTTTTTAATTACTTCAGTTCTTATTATCGGAATTAACAAGTGATCTTCCATTATCTGAACCATTTGGCTTTTGGAATTATCTTATCCTTAACATATTTGCACCTAAGTTTTACTGCAGCGGTCTCATTGTGCTACGCGTCAAGTTCTTATATGTATATCAGGTTAGTTTTACGATCTCTTTACACAATTTAGAATTTGCAACAAAATCCACAACAGAATAATGTAACTAACGTAACTGTACATATCATGTAATATTATATTTAAAGTTAATTATGTTTAAAATTAGATATTTGTCAATTAAAAGAATGAATAAATAATGGTAGTGTAACATAAAAAAATTATTTTTATTATTATTACACTGTTTTACAGATTTTTTAAATACACAATATTCTTCATTTTTAATTAGTGCAATCTTTTTATATCATTACTTTTGTATCAGCTAATATTATTATTTTGTAAAATAATTTTGTAAGTCACACATTATTTTTCATAATTCTTAATTCAATCAATTAAAATAACATTCTGTTATAAAACAACTTTCTTACAATGGATGCGCATACGTGGCGTTTTTTAAACAGTTTTTTAAGAAACTAGCACTACAGACGCGCGCTTCGCGCGCGCTATTTAATTGCACTTTTACTTTTTACTATAATTGACTATCCTATCAAAACTCTTTTTTAAAAAAAGAAAAAGATTACGCCAAGTATATAAAAAAGTATCGTACGTTACATTCTTCCTAAACTAAAAATATTATTTTAACAAATAAAAATTGTTCAAAAAAGATCGGAAGAGCACACGTCTGA